CCGGCCGATTTCTCTGTAGTTCTATCAGGATATATTTCACCAAGGATATATTTTCAAATTCCATGTGTTTTAAAATTTTTGCTTCACTTTGTCTCCTGCTAGTTTCTTTTTCACATTTATCTAATTTTAAGGTTGGTTCCCATGATTGCCAGGGAACATTAAAATACGTCTGGAGAAGTCAGGCATCTGTTCTCATTCCCACCACCCTGTTACCTTCCTCCTCATTCCCCATCAGATAATCATTTCAGTAGTATTTTTGCTTATGCTTTCAGTGTTCTACTAACACACACAAATATAAACAAGTATTTGTATTCCCAGACCCTTCTTAGGTTCAATGTAGTATGTTATAAGAGTAGTTGGGTAGGAGGTAGTGTGTTGTAGGAGTAGTTGGGTAGGAGTAGTGTGTTGTAGGAGTAGTTGGGTAGGAGTAGTGTGTTGTAGGAGTAGTTGGGTATGAGGTAGTGTGTTGTAGGAGTAGTTGGGTATCAGGTAGTGTGTTGTAGGAGTAGTTGGGTAGGAGTAGTGTGTTGTAGTAGTTGGGTATGAGGTAGTGTGTTGTAGTAGTTGGGTAGGAGTAGTGTGTTACAGGAGTAGTTGGGTAGGAGTGGTGTGTTGTAGGAGTAGTTGGGTATGAGGTAGTGTGTTATAGGAGTAGTTGGGTATGAGTAGTGTGTTGTAGGAGTAGTTGGGTAGGAGTAGTGTGTTGTGGGAGTAGTTGGGTAGGAGTAGTGTGTTGTAGGAGTAGTTGGGTAGGAGTAGTGTGTGTAGGAGTTGTTGGTTAGGAGTAGTTGTGCTGTAGTAGTTGGGTATGAGGTAGTGTGTTGTAGTAGTTGGGTAGGAGTGGTGTGTTGTAGGAGTAGTTGGGTATGAGGTAGTGTGTTACAGGAGTAGTTGGGTATCAGGTAGTGTGTTGTAGGAGTAGTTGGTTATGAGGTAGTGTGTTGTAGTAGTTGGGTAGGAGTGGTGTGTTGTAGGAGTAGTTGGGTAGGAGTAGTGTGTTACAGGAGTAGTTGGGTATGAGGTAGTGTGTTATAGGAGTAGTTGGGTACGAGGTAGTGTTTTAGGAGTAGTTGGGTTGAGGTACCGTGTTATAGGAGTAGTTGGGTAGGAGGTAGTGTGTTGTAGGAATAGTTGGGGACAAGGTAGTGTGTTATAGGAGTTGTCCTGCCTTCGGTTTTCACCCCGTGGTGTCAGCAATAGGATGTGGAGAAATCTTCATTTTCCCACCACCGCGAGGCCTTCCATCCTGTGCACACACCACAGCTCCTTTTTTTATTTTTTTTATTTTTTTGACAGGCAGAGTGGACAGTGAGAGAGAGAGACAGAGAGAAAGGTCTTCCTTTCCGTTGGTTCACCCTCCAATGGCTGCTGCGGTGGGCATGTTGCAGCCGGCGCACCGCGCTGATCTGAAGGCAGGAGCCAGGTGCTTCTCCTGGTCTCCCATGGGGTGCAGGGCCCAAGCACTTGGGCCATCCTCCACTGCCTTCCCTGGCCACATCAGAGAGCTGGACTGGAAGAGGAGCGACCAGGACAGAACCAGCGCCCCGACCAGGACTAGAACCCCGGGCGCTACAGGCGGAGGATTAGCCTAGTGAGCCGCGGCGCCGGCCATGCCTTGGGAAACTTTTACTCACATGTTATAAAGGCACTCACACCTGTCTTCCTCTCACCCTGTACTTCCACTTCGCACTAGTTGGCATTTGTGCTGGTGTGTGACGTGCAGCATCATTCATCTACACCTCTCACATGCTTCTCCAGGTAGCCCTGCTCTGCTGATGAGAGTCCACATTAGATACACTGCCTTTAGCACTGTCAGCTGTCCATGTGCAGTTAGGTTTATTTCTGGATTTTCCATCTGGTTCTGTTACTTGTCTGTTTATTCATTTACCAATGCAGTTTTCCTCTAATTTAGAGTCTGAGTAATATGTTGCAACATCTGCATTAAAATTGAGTCCCTTCTCGTTGTCTTCTTTTATAACAGTTTCCAATCTATTTCTGTTTAGTTGCTTTTCCAAATGAAAATCAATTTGCTAAGCGTGAAGAGAAAGGACCTGATGGATGACAGGTGCATCATCAGAACAGACATGCTCAGACCGTGGACCGTTACACCCCGAACCCGGGCCTGGCTTTCTCCTCATTCTCATGCACTTGGGCACGTTTCAGGAATGTTTGAGCCACACATGTTTCAATCATTTCTTTCTAGGGACTTTGGCTGTTTTTCTTGGAATTCTAAGAGGTTTTTGTAACTTCCAACCAGTTATTATTTTCATCTATGAAAGCTATTGCTTTCTACATACTGATTCTATAACCTGCTTTTTAAATACATTTTGTTATGTGTTTTTACAGCTTTTTCAATGATTTCTCAAGATTTCCAGATATATACTAATATGGTCTCTAAGTAAAGATGACTTGACCACTTCCTTTCAAATTTGTCTGCCTCTCTCTCGTGACCCCAGATGACAATTTTTTTTTTTTTTTGACAGGCAGAGTTAGGCAGTGAGAGAGAGAGAGACAGAAAGGTCTTCCTTCTGTTGGTTCACCCCCAAAATGGCCACTACGGCCAGCGCTGTGCCGATCCAAAGCCAGGAGCCAGGTGCTTCTCCTGGTCTCCCATGGGGTGCAGGGCCCAAGCACTTGGGCCATCCTCCACTGCACTCCCTGGCCACAGCAGAGAGCTTCCGGGACAGAATCCAGAGCCCTGACCAGGACTAGAACCCGGTGTGCCGGCGCCGCAGGTGGAGGATTAGCCTAGTGAGCTGCATAGCCGGCCCAGATGACAATTTGAAGACGCAAAGGAGGAACTGGCCATCCCCATCTTCCACTTGACTTCGGCAGGTGTTTCCCGACTGAGCAACATGCTGGCCCCTGGGCTGAGAGGCTCACACCCTCCTGATGCGCTTTCAGTTCCCAGGAAGTCTGTCACTCTGCTTCCACCAAGACTGAGATGACACTTCAGAAACAGAGCAGAAGTCACCTAGAGTGGTTGCTTTTCAAGTTTTAATGTACGTGAAAGTCGGCAAAGCACCTCAGCAGGTGTGGGAGGGGCTGAGAGTCTCTATTTTCAGCCAGCTCTCGGGTAGGCTGCAATGCTGCTCCAAGTAGATCACACTTAGAGGAGCGATGATCGGGAATACAGAAGTCCTCTTCTAGCTTTGGTGTACAAATGTGCTTTCAAGTAATTCAAAGTGCAGGACAGTCATGAAAATTCTTGTTTTCCACTTTAAGAGGCAGACATGGGTAACTCTCTGAGAAGACGAGAGCAGAGGCTGTCCCGTGAGTCCCAGAGTCGGAACAGGTGGGGATGATGGAGGTGGGCCTCCCGCTGCAGGGGAAGAGGGGGCGCTGCCAGGAGTCGGGCAGATACAGGTGCGACGGGTCTTAGAAAGCAAGGGGATCAGGGAGAATCCAGCTGCTGCTGACTGGTGCATTGCAGCAAGGGCCCCACAGGGTGAGACCCTTCAGCAGAAACCAGCCAGGCTCAAAGGACTTAGACCAGACACTGTTCCTGGTGCCAGAATAGCAATGTATTGTTGGTGTTGGGTCTGGATTTCACAGATGAAAAGTAGTGTATTAATCCAACCATCCATTAACCCATTCACCTCTCCCTCCCTCCATCCATCCATCCATCCATCCACCCAACCATCCTTCCTTCCTTCCACTCATCCATCCACCCATTCTTCTACCCACCTATCCAGCCACCCACCCATTCACCCACTTATCCATCCAGGCTGTAAACTGAGAGCCTGCTGTGTGTCAGGTGCTAGTCACAGCAGGAGTACAATCAGCAGCACTCCTGCCCATATGGAACCTGAAGTCACCCACATCTGAGATCCATCAGCAAGGGTAGTTGACAGGGAGACGAGCATCTGACAAGGGACACCCACATGCCCACACCTCCCTGGAAACCTGACTCAGTGCCTCTGGGAAGAGCCCAAGTAATTTGATGCTCAATTCTAATTGAAAAATCACTATTTTTAGCACTTACATATCACTAGAGTATTTACTTCAGCAATTAAACATTTAAAATATATGTGGTAAGTTCACCTTATTTTTTGCTTCTAAAAATTAGTTCCAGAATATTTCAAAAATAGCTGAGTTTTAAGACATGTTCAAGATATGAGTCATACTGTATTTAGGAAATATTCTACCTCATCCATCAAAGATTTATAGTATTTTAAATTATATCATTTTAACATATATAAGTCAAGATCCAAACACAGCAATTTTTTAATTAGCACTCTTGTTTATAATAATTCAAGCCAATTAGTATCTGCATGGTGTGAAGAGGCAGCTTCAGGGTGAATATAATAAACTTGTGACAAAATGTTATGTATATATTTTTATATTTGTGGTGCAAATGAAGGGGTATAAAATATTGCCCTGTATTTGCAATTGCTAAATCCTGGTGGATATTGGTATTTAGAAAATAAAACCATTTGCAAGATTTTCTTATATAAAAAAGACACGTATGTTTTCACCAAGACATCACTGCCATTCAGACTTCCTTCTGGAATCCCCTCCAAGCTCTACCCCATATGCACACGCCCACCCCGCAGGCTCTGGATGCGCCTGTGTTGTGGAGGTATAAACACCTGGACAGCTCTGCAGGGCTTCCTGATCCCAGATCTCGGATCTCAAGCGAAGCCTGCTGCTGCTGAGACCTTGCTCGGGTGTCCCTTGCCCAGGGGTAGCCACATCCTGCTATGGTTCTTGCTACGTGGCATCGTGATGACTCAGTGTAAGTGTGCATCTCGACTACAGTGTGTGAAGTTCTTGATGTAATTCATTTAAAAATCTGACACACCAGACAGATCAAGAAACGCCCAAGGCGTCGAGTGATTGAAGGTGCACTGCCCATCTTTCTCTAGAGCTGTGATTTAGACTCCCACATTTAGACAGCCTTCAAATTTCATATCCCAACGCGTGCACTTATAACCAAACTCCATGCTAGAGGACTTAGGTCTCTGACCTCCCCATTTCCCCAAAGGAAAGGAACTTACGGGCTCAAGCAACAGGATGACTGTGGGAAGAAGCATCTCTGTAGCTAGGGTCCGCTCTCAGGAAATCAGTCACAGATCTGGAGACCACCTGGTGCATCTGTGCTGTCAGGAAAGCAAAATAAAGGGGATACTCTTTTATTAAAGAATATTTGCACTGGGGCTGTGTTGTGGCATGGCAGGTAAAGCTGTCACCTGCGATATGAGCATCCTGGATGGGCACCAGTTTGGGCCCTGGCTGCTCTGCTTCGACCCAGCTCCCTGCTAGTGGTCTGGGAAGACCAGCAGAAGATGGCCCAAGTCCTTGAGCCCCTGCACCACGTGGGAGACCCAGATGAAGCTCCTGGGTCTGGGCTTCAGTCTGGTCCAGTGCTGGCCATTTGTGGCCGTTTGAGGAGCAAACAGTAGATGGAAGAGCTCTGTGTGTGTGTCTCCCTCTCTCTCTGTAACTCTGACTTTCAAATAAATAAATCTTTTCAAAAAGAAAAAAGCATTTGCATCACACACTTTCGATATCTCTGCACTCACTCTGCAAGTCAGCTTCATGCTTTTTGCCCCCAGCCCATCCCAATGGCTTTCCCAGGTCGGCTGCTTGAGCCCAGAGGCAAACAGCCCTCCTGAGACATCTATACCTGCTTCTCTTGGACTGCTGGAGGCAGACACAACAGAGCTGCTGATAAGGTCAACACTGAAGTGCTGGATAAACAGAAGGGAAAGAGGCCACGTGAGGCCCACCAGGTTTTGTCTAGGGCACGTCTTTTCTGTAGCTATTGGTCTGTAGCTCTGAGCTAACTGGTTACCTTCCTTTAACTCAAGAACAGAGTAGCCTAAGAGAGAGTCAAAAAAGACAACATAGGTGAGGAAATATGGCCCAAGTCTGAGCAATCCTAGAGATGTGGGCAGGTGAGGATCAATTCCAGAAACCAAATGAGGACATGGATGCACAGATGGGTCTCCAAGACCTCGTGACTGCAGCCAAGAGCACGGGAATGCAGAGGCACAGGGGGATAACCACTGAGCATAAAGGCCCTGACCCTGCTGGAACCTGCCCTCCTGAGGCCCTCAGGCATCTGCTGTGGCCAGACAGAGGCTGGCAGCTGAGGGCAGCCCTTATCCTGCATGCTAGGACCACCACGATGCCTCCAGAGTCCAGAGGAAAGGAATCTCCCCTACAAACAAAACTGCTACCACTTTGCATTTCCACGTGGACCAGCGCTCCAGAAGAAAACTGTCACAAAACAACCAGGCTTGCAGAGGGGAACTTCAGTATTTCTGAGATATGAGAGTAGCACAAAGGGGGCCAGCCCTGTGGCATAGCGGGTTAAGCCCCTGCTTGTCACACCTGCACCCCTTAGGAGTGTAAGGGCAAGTCCTGCCTGCTCCACTTCCAGTCCAGGTGCCTGCTTATAATACGGGGAAAGTCAGCAGACAGCCCAAGTACTTAGGCCCCTGACACTCTCGTGGGAAAGCTGGAACCTGGATGGAGTTCAAGTTTCCTGGTTTCAGCCTGGCCCAGCCCTAGCCATTGTGGCCACGGGGAGAGGGAGCCAGCAGGTGGAAGATCTCTCTCTCGCATGTGTTCTCTTCACCTCTTTGTCCCTATAATTCTGACTTTCAAATAAAATTGTGATAAACCATCGAGCAGTTGGCACAGAAAGGACATAGAGAGTGTTGCTGCTGGCAGAGGCAAGACAAGACCCTGGTCAGCAGCCCAGGCTGTGGACTGAGGACAGTGCTCAGGGAACAAGGCCATTTCTGCCACTTGCTACACATCTGGTTACCCACCTGGGGAGTGAGTGTTACGGGAATTACGGGGATGAACATGCGGCAACTAAAGAACCATGGACAAGAGCACCTGGGACTCTGCATGACACAGGACAGGTACTCGGGAGGTTTCGTTTCTGCTCCAGCACTGCACTGTTGGGTTAGTCAGTCGCCCTCTGAGCCTCAGCTCCTCACCTGAGGTGCACTGAGTCAGCACAGAGACCCTCTCAGCTGCTCTGTCCACTGCGGAACACCGCGCACACGTCAGCTGCCAATCCAGGGCAAGACGTGTGGCATATCTGGCCACACAAAGTCCCATTCTCCTGGAAGGCAACCCCAAGACCAGTAGGGAGCCAGGCCCTGCACCTTGCCATAAAGCCAGAAACAACAAACACCGCAGCCCCAAGAGGGTCTCCTGCCGGGACGCCAAAATCCAATGGAGTGACAAAACTGGAGGGTCAGATTCAACATGGCACCACGTGGCCCCAGGGGCAGCCCCAGGGAGCCTCTGCCAGCAGCAACATGCCCCAGCATCAGCCTCCTCTTCCTGGGAGTCTGCTCAAGTCGGCTCTCCACATCCCAGACCCCTTCTGCAGCGAACACAGAGGCAGTTTCTATGTCCATGATCTGTGACCGATGACTGGCACATGGCCTGCCGCAGGCGGGACTCAATCCCTCAGCCTAAGGACGCTATGCAAACTGCCAGTGACAGAATGATTCATACATGCTTGGCTATTTCATGTGTTGTCTAAAATCCAAAACAATCAGATCCTGTTAGTATCAGATGGGGGAGAAAGCCTAGCCTACGCTCACAGTAAATCTTCCTGTTGAAGGACCGTGGTTGGGTGCCTCCATTTTCTCTGAGTCCTACGTAGAATGCAGATGTCACAGGCTGGACTGGGTGAGGTTTCTGCTTCGTCCTAGGTCACCCCACGTCCCTGAAGGAACTCTAGCACGGACACACACACACACACACACACAGAGCCAATCTCCCACATTTCAGACACTGCAGAGAAAATACCTAAAATCCATCTCGTCTACAAACCACTTTCTTAGTACGTCTAGAACACTATTTCTCAGCCTTTTTCCATTATCAGTCTCAAAGGAGAAAAGTTAAGTCAAAATTCTCCCTAACAAGAGAAATTAACACTTTACACCGAAGACCAAGATTTCTGTCCCATAGGTTTGCGCTCAGGGTCAGAGCCCTAACACCTGCCCCGACAGGGAGAAGCCGCACTGACCCTGCGAGAGTGTGCGCTCTAGAATTACTGTCACAGACAGCAACGTCACCATGCAGTGCCTGCGGGATGCTCTGAACACCTCCTGTGTAATTTACAAATGAATGCTCAAGGCTTGCAGTAACTAAGCCTATTACACTTGGAAACTGTGTCTGCACTACTCATGACGGGATGCCACCATTCACACCTGGGCTGCACAGAGTTGAATGAAGCAATCGGTTGTCTTTGCTCAACTGAGACGGAGGTGGAGGTCAACTCTAACGCCTGTCTACACTGCAGTGTAGACCAAAACACAGCACGCCAGGGTAGCAGGGAGACTGCGTCACAGCCGTCCCTATCCACCCCAGCCCGTTTGCCCAGAGTGCAGAGGGGCCCTCTTTCACCTGCTGACTCACAGACTATGCCCACCTCTCAATGTACCAGGGGGCTCAGGCCACACCTAGACTGCTCATCACCCCCTACCCCTGTCCTAGGTCACTCCATGCCCCTGCCCTGGGCCATCCTACACCCCGTCTTACCTTACCCCACATTCCTGACCCTCTTCACCCCATACCCTGTCCTAGCTCACCCCACATGCCTGTCCTAGCTCACCCCACGCCCCTGTCTCAGCGCACCCTACACCCCTATTCCAGCTCATCCCACATCCCTGTCCCAGCTCACCCCACGCCCCTGTCTCAGCTCACTCCATACCCCATCCTAGTTCACCCCACATCCCTTCCCTAGATCACCCACATCCCTGCCCTAGATCACCCACATTCCTGCCCTTCCTCACCTCACACCCCTATTCTAGCTCACCCCATGCCCTGTCCTACTTCACCCTATACCCTGACCTATCTCACCCCTCATCCCTGCCCTAGATTACCCCACACCCCTGTTCTAGGTCATCCCACAGTCCTGTCCTAGGTTACTCCATATCCCTGTCCTAGCTCAGCCCAGACCCCTGTCCTGGGTCCCATCTGGGCATCAGTTAGAGTTCTGGCAGCTCCACTTCCTATCCAGCTCTCTGCTAATGGCCTGAAAAAAGCAGTGGAAGATGGCCCAAGCGCTTAGGCCCCTGCACCTGTGTGAGAGACTCAACAGAAGCTCCTGGCTCCTGGCTTCAGATCAGTCCTAGCTCCAGCCATTGCAGCCATCTGGGGAGTGAAACAGTGGATGGAAGACCTGTCTCTGTCTCTCCTTCTGTCTGAAACTCTGCCTGTCAAATAAATAAGTAAAATATCTTTTTAAAAAACTAAAAGGGAAAATGTGCAACGTATTGTTAACAGGGTGGACACTGCAGCACAGCAGGTTAAGCCAACCCTTGGGTTGTGTGCACCCCCATCAGAGAACTCGGGACTGATTCCTGTGCTTGCTTCTGATCCAGCTCCCTGCTGATGTGCCTGGAGGCAGCAGTGACAGCCCAAGCGCTTGAGCTCCTTCCACGCGCATGGGAGACCAGGGTGGAGTTCCCGGCCCCCAGCTTTAGCCTGGCCTAGCTCTGGCTGTTGCAGGCACTCAGGACATAAACGAGCAGATGAAAGATCTCTCTCTCTCCCACTCTTTGTGTTATGCTGCCTTTCAAATCAATCAGTAAAAATTGTGAAGACAATTTACAAAAAAGGAAACACAATGTCTCAAATATTTTAAAATATGTTCAACCTCACTCATAAGAAAGATGCAAATGAAATTGCATTAATAGTTTTTCTGCTGGTGCTGCGGCTCACTAGGCTAATCCTCCGCTTGAGGTGCCGGCACACCGGGTTCTAGTCCCGGTCGGGGCACCGGATTCTGTTCCAGTTGCTCCTCTTCCAGGCCAGCTCTCTGCTGTGGCCAGGGAGTGCAGTGGAGGATGGTCCAAGTACTTGGGCCCTGCACCCCATGGGAGACCAGGAGAAGCACCTGGCTCCTGGCTTCAGATCGGCGCAGTGCACCGGCCGTAGCACGCTGGCCGCAGTGGCCATTGGGGGGGTGAACCAACGGAAAAAAGGAAGACCTTTCTCTCTGTCTCTCTCTCTCTCTCACTGTCCACTCTGCCTGTCAAAAATAAATTTTAAAAATTGCATTAATAGTTTTTCCTATCATGTTAACAAGCATCACAAAGTTTCATAACGCAATTGTT